TAGTATTTTAAAATTTCTTTTTTTTTTATTTTACAAGATAATAACTTCATTAATTTAATTAAAAAATAAAAATAAAACCTCTCCATATTCATTAAGTTATTTTTTCATTTTAATCATGCACCCTAATTTTAATTCTAAATTTTTAATTCACCTGTAACTCTTATCTCCTGAAAATTGGTTTGCGCCTTTACTCTTAGAATCCTGAATTTCTAATTTGTTCTTAAATTAATATTATGATTCTTCTAATTAAGTTTTAAAAAAGTATTATTCTAAAAGTCTTAAAACAATATAATAAATCTAATCTTGATATTCTACTATTATTGGATATTTGATTTAGAAGTTTTAAATTTTGATTATTAATGTTTCTAATCAATTTTAGTGATATTTATATTAAATTTTATTTACTTTTAATAGGATTTAGAAGATGTGATTAAATTATTATTAAGAAAAAAATTAATTTTAATCTTTAAGAATTATTTATACTGTGCTACAAACTTGAAGTCATCTTTTATTATTCTTGATATCTCTAGTGATGTAACCAAGAAGAATTTCAAAGTTTTTTAATTTTTACAAATGTAAAGAAGTATAAAAACTTATTTATAATTTATAAATTTTATTATGTTTTTACTAATTTGAATGTTAATGTGTTTTATAGTTATGTTTTCTATTTGATGTTAAAATATTTTTACATTATCTCATATATTTAATAATGATAAAAACCAATCAATTTGACTGAACCACACCGATCCGATTTAAGTTGGATTGGTTTGGTTATCATATAATAGTGGATTGGATTGGTTTAAAAATTTTATTAACTAATTAAATTGGATTGGTTTAAAAAATATTAAAATCGGAATCAAACCACACTGCGAACAACCCTAGTAAACAGTGTGTGAACAGTAAACAAGATAAAAGGAAAAGATAAAAATGTCCTAAAAGTCACACTAGGTTTCTTTAGGTATCACACTCAATGAGGAAGCATCCTTAAGCATGACACCTAAAGGTGATTGGATCAGACAATCTCAAAGCATGACATGTTGAAAGTTTTTGAAAATGTTATGATTAGCTGCTCTATGAAATAGAATTCTTAACTAAGATTCTGATTAAAAGCATATATATATATATATAAACTAAGATTCTCAATGAAATAAAAATACTTAAGACTTCTAATAAGACTTGTAATTTAAAGATATAATTTAAAAAATTAGGAAAACTAATTGAAACGACCTGGACCAAAGCCCACACTCAAGTTGTTAGTAGTGGTTGGTGTTTGGGCAGCTTCACCATCCAACACTGTTGAGGTCTTCGGCTGCTTCCACACCTGAAATTCCCGAGGACGTTTCCTTGGGGAAAACACTCCGACGCTTAAGTCAGCAATACTCAATATTCTAGAGAAAGATGCTCTCAAAGAGTAATTGTAGAGAGAGAAGCGTAGAGATTAATTACTTTCATTGGAGGTAGTTAGGGGGGTATTTATAGCTTCAAGTGCTGACATGCCTCTGTACATGTAAGCATCTCATTGGCCCACGTGGCACTAGTCACGTGGGTATGCTTGTACTGATGCTCCCTTAACTTGGGCTAATGGGTGGCAGCCTAGGCCCGTTATGTACAACCCAAATTGAATGTTGGGCCTATTCCAACATTGCTCCCCCCTTGGTGTTCGGTTGACGAACTGGGTTGAATGTATCCGTGGCTCAATGTTCGAGTTGGGGTATCGGATTGACAACTCTTGCAGTTTGTGAGTGACCTCGTTAACGGTCGATCTAAAAGGTGGCACCAGTTACATATCCTAATGGGAAGGTTCGATCAGATCGCAGTTCTACAATCTGTGCTTCTGGTGACCCCACAAGGTTTGTACAAGTACAACGAGCTTACAAGCCTGAGGGTGTACAGGAGAGCTGATATCCGTAACCTGACCATCATGGGCTCGGTATATCAGCGAGCTGGAGTGGCTCACAAAAGGTAGGCTCGTTATTTCAACGAGCTCGTCCACGTTGACATAAGCGCAAGCGATCGTGTAACGACCTGAATCTTGAATACAGTTAAACATCTTGAAGCGACTAGGTGATGCTGTCACTCGAACATAGGGACGAGCTGAGATGAGGCGACCTCAACCATAGAGCGATTTGAGATCTTTGAATAAACATGGTGCCAAAACCGAGCTACAGCAAAATGAACCTCGTATGTGCGACGAGGTTAAGTAGAGTGATCTTGAAGATCTTACGATCTGTGGTGTCCGACGAGCTATCGCTCTTGCGACAACTTGATCAATGTGGTCACAATGACGAGCTGGTATGGATGGGATAAGAAACAGATCAACCTGTTATGTTCTGAATCTTGGGAATTTTTCTGACTCAACCAAATCCCTGAGGAGATACGATTGATCTCCCGTATCTCTTTGCCTCCCCATCATAAATGTTGGCTCAGCATTTGAGGGGACATAACAGCTAAAACTGGCGCACGCTATACGAAAGGGGTTAAACGCCTGCGACGTGTGGGACGCTAACTGGCATGTCAGAGACACGCGTACGAAAATTAACACTGCAATTTCGGTTTTATTCTTTGCATAACCATTTCCCTTTCCATTTTCCATTTCACTGTTTGTTTGAGTTTACTGAGATTCTCTGCAACGAAGCATTTGCATCTTGAAGAACAGAGCACCAGACCGTAAACACTACAGCTACACATCAATCTCAAGTAAAATGGATTTCTTTAGAGAACTTAGAGAGCTACGAGGTAACCAGGGCAGAAAAGAGGAAGAGGAATGGGTTATTTCTATAGAACCTATCACGATGATAGTGCCGCCGGCACTGCAGGACTTGCCGGAGAGAATAACGCTTGAAAGCACCACTAGTTCAAGCGCTAAGGACGATGGTGGCGACCACCACACTTAACCACCTAGCAGCTCGTCCTTTAAAGAGACACCCAGCCGCGAGGAAGAGACGGGGAATGTGGTTGGCCACGAACCAGATCTACCCGTGGTTGGAGAATGGGAAAATAGGGTAATCACGGGTAGGTTGAGTAACCTACGCAAGGCGCCCAAGGACCTGCCCGCCGGATTTAGATTCAGGGCGGCGCTTCATCATGAAGTAGCAGACAATTCGCCCTCAATAAGTGGGTACAAGAAACTAAAGGAGATGGTGAGGGCGTATCAAATCCCCAAGACGATATTGCTCCGAGCTGGCGCACAGAATGAGAGGGCGTGCATGGTGTCATAGACGAGCTGGATACCAGTGTACGTGGATCATTTTGAGGCCGGCCTGCGATTTCCCCTGCCCGGGTTGATATTTGATCTGCTGGCAGATTACGAGTTGGCAGATTATGAGCTGGCTCTGACGCAGCTGACGCCCAACAACATAAGGTTCATCATAGGCTTTATGCTGTTGTGTGCGAGGTTGGAGATACCGGCGAAGGCAATAGTGTTTAGGTCGCTGTTCCAATGCCGGCTATGTCCCAACTCTAGAGGCGCGAAGTGGTATTACCTCTCGGGGAGGGAGAAGAGCCAGCTCTTCAAAAATGTGAGGAACAAAGTGGCGAGGTGGAAGAGGCAGTTCATTTTTGTTCGCAACACATGAACAGAAAGAATAAGCAATGACCTCGCTGCTCGGTTATCTGAATGGCGCATGCTGAATGCACATGCCAATTACCCCCAGCTACTGCCTTGGGATACAAATATGAAAAATCAGCTACTTGAGTATGCGAGGAAGGAGAACTTAATAGATTTAGAAACCCTGCTTACCTCGGAGCAACTAGCCGTGTTCGGGTTTCTCGACGTGGCAAACCAATTCACAGAAGGTATACTTTCATCATATACTATGAATTCTAGTCGAGCTGAGTCTTATGTATTTGTTTGTGCAAGGGAAATAAGTAGCATACTTGAGAGGCAACGTCAGCGAGCCCAGGGCTCCCGAGGTCACGCGTCGAGCAACGCTTCACAAAGACAGATGCAGTTCGATGAGCGGCCGCCCTCAGCGCCACAATCACGCAGCTCGTCACACCGTGGATCCAGCTCAGCGTCCAGGCCTCACGCCGAGCAAAAGGTTGAAACTGTGGCCCCCAGTGCACGCAAGCGTGCATGTGAGGAGATTGACAATGAGGATGAGGTCCCTCTCACTCGGCGTAGAACAAGCATGGGGACTCAACTCGCGTAGGCAGTTCAATCTGCAGCCGCGCACTCGTCAAACGCACCATCTGCCATAGCACGGGCCGCAGCTGAGCCTGCACCTATGTCGACCTCAGTGTCGGTGCCCAATATCGCATATCCAAAGGGCTTCAGTTATGTGAAAATGGACTGCCAGCCCGCCATGGTGCAAGGCATGCAAAGCTTTGTGCCTCTCGTGGATCGTCAGCGGGCAAGGACCTTTGTACAGCAGCATGGCGGGCAAGTCGCCATGGTCAAACTGATGGATGTAAGTATTTACTTGCACCTGCATGATTACTTTGTTATTTCATCTAAGGGACTAACAATTATTGCTGTTTGGTAGGCGTTCAGCTACGGAATCGCGTTGTTCGAGAGCGAACAAGGAGCTCGCGCTCAGAATAGCAAGCTCAGCACCAATTGCAAACAGTTGGCCGCAGAAAAGGCTAGCCTAGTGGATGATGTCAATCATCTACAAGGTTCTGAGATGGGCACGGAAGCTACATCTGTGGAGAGTCAAGCAGAGGAGCTCACGAGCAGGAATAACAAGCTCAGGGAGGAGATGGAGCGAGCCCGGGCTGAAAAAGAAAGCGCGATCCAAGCGGCGAAGGTTGAGGCCGCCCGGATTGAGGAATGGGCCAAGAAAGCTGAGGTCGAAAGTGACCGTACTCTAAACGAGCTGAGCTCCCTAAGGCACCAGGTCACTGAGGCCGACAAGAACCTCAATGCAGCTGAAGAGGCCCTGAACGAATTGAAGACATCTCACGGGCGCTTTGTAAGTATCGCCCGAGCTCAAGGGGTAGAATGGTTGGTGGGCTCAGCTGCGTTCCAAGACGCTGTGGCGGTGGCGTCTGCAAACATGACCACAGAGAACTACAATGAGATCCGTGGGAAGGTGCTGCAACATCGCCCAGACTTCCCAATACGCGAGTTGGCGTTCTTCGACGGGGAGAACCTCGACGAGCAGCGTAAAAGCCTTTCTCCCCTTGTTGATGCAACGGTGTGGTTGAGATGGGAGCTCAATGAGGATGGGGTACCTGTCTGGCCTCCTTCAGTCCTAGAAGAAGGGGAGGATCCAACGAGCCTACCCTCCTTTGACTCTTGAGTTGAAGGGGCTCCTGTGGCTGAAGAGGAGCCATTGAGCACTCCGCCTAACTCTCAGCCCGTCGTGGCACCAGCCAGGTCGCCCGTTAGTGCACCAGCTCCCGAGCCCATCGCTCGCTCGCCTCCAGCTCGCTCCTCAACTCCTGCTGCTGCTAACACGTCCATGCCATCAATCTGACGGATGATTAGTTTTAGAAATTTTCTTTTCTTTGTGTATTGCTTTTGCATTTTTGTTTCTTTCTTTGAAAAATTGTATCTAGATCTCCTGCATTGAAACTTGTAATTTTTTGAACAAAAATAGAAAAGTGAAGACTTTATCAAACTGTTTGTTCTTTATTGTATTGCATGTATGGTTTACATTTCCGCAAACAGATTCCTCACTAACATATACATTAACTATAAAATCTTCTGAAATTATGTACATTCCAAATATATGGTAACTTGCGTCCTTACATATCTGCTAACACGTAATATTCAAGTCGCTTAACTTGAACAACCATATACGGACCTTCCCAATTCAGTGCAAGTTTCCCCATATGCGAGTAAGCATTAGTGAGCCCAGCTTTGCACAAAACCAAATCACCAACCTGAAATTGACAAGCTCGAACTCGCTTATTATAAAATCTGGCGACACAACTTTGATGCGCCATATTTCTTATGTGAGACATCTCCCTGACTTCTTTTATAAGGTCTAGGTTCTCTCTTAAAAGTTGCTCATTGTTAGGATTGTTATGCCGACCTGCTCTATCAGATGGCAATCCGACCTCTACAGGGATGACGACCTCAGCTCCATAGGCAAGGCTGAATGGGGTTTTGCCTGTGCCCGAGCTGGGTGTAGTGCGACATGACCAAAGCACTTTATTGAGCTCGTCAACCCAATTAGAATGCGCAACTAAAACACGTGTCTTGAGGCCATGCAAGACGATTTTATTGGCAAACTCGGCTTGTCCATTGGACTGTGGAGTATACACATATGTCAAGGCGAGCTCAATGCCATAGTCGTTATAGAACGACCTCAGTGCTGCGGCTCGGAACTGTGGACCATTGTCAGCGATGATCTGTTTAGGTATGGCGAACCTGTACACAGATGACTGAGCTGAGCCACAAATTATATTTGCATATAATATACAAATGGCTTAAGCCACCAAAGAATACCTACATAATATCGAATTGAACAAGAATTCCTCTATTTTCTTCTCTGTTGTCATGGATAAGGGTTTGGCTTCTATCCATTTCATGAAGTAATCCACTGCGACAACTAGGTATGTGCAACCTCCTTTGCCTTTCACAAAAGGGCTGAGTAGGTCGACTCCCCATTGAGCAAAAGGCTAGGGAGATGAGAGTGACGAGAGCATTTCTCCTGTTTCAACGAAGATACTTATGCTCAGTTTATAGACAAACATGAAGTTTGCACGAACTTTAGAACGAGCTCAGATACCTGGCATGTGTATATCATCAGCATTGAATTGGCAGGTCGGGCATTTTTTGACATAGCTCTGTGCGTCCTCGACCATAGTAGGCCAATAATAACCATGCCTCAGGAGTTTCCAAGCTAAAATTCTACCACCTATGTGTGTGCCACATACTCCTTCATGAACTTCTCTCACAGCATATTCAGCTTCATAAGGAGTAAGGCAGCGTTTAATCAATTTTGCTGTGGACACATCTTCAGGCAGCTCGCCACTTCGTAGACACTCTATGAGCGGAATGGTCCAGCTCGGTGAAGAGGGATCTGTGCTTAGTAGCTGACACTCTATTGTGAAATCAGTGTAGCTCAGGGCGTCAAGCACTTCCACAATTGTTGATCTTCGAGGGTTGATATCTTGTGAGGAGGCTAATTTTAATAGCTCATCAGCTCGTTGGTTATCTGCTCTGGGTATCTTGTCGATCTGGAAAGATATAAATCTTGATGTCAATCTGTTGACTACAAAAGCATAACGACCAAGATGAGGATCCTTGATTTTACAGCTGCCATTCACTTGGCCCATAACGAGCTGAGAGTCATTAAAAACCTGAATGCTCTGTACTTTCAGCTCGAACGTCAGCTTCAAACCATAAATAAGGGCTTCATATTTTGCAACATTATTTGTTGTCTGAAACTTAAACCTCAATGCATGCTCGGATTTAAAGTCATCTGGGCCCACTAACACAGCCCTAGTACCCGATCCTTCAATATTAGCAGCTCCATCCACGTACAGGACCCAAACGGGGTATTCAGGTGCCTTTTCTTCTACTGTTGCTGAGAGGCACTCCACTAGGAAGTCCGCAATAGCCTGGCCCTTTATGGTTGTGCGCGGTTGGAATTTGAGGTCATACTCACTTAGCTCAACGCTCCACCCGATAAGCCGACCAGAGAGTTCTAGCTTTTGCAATATCTTCCTCAGCCGCAGATCAGTGTAGACAATAATTTGATGGGATTGGAAGTAAGCTCTCAACTTACGAGCTGTGTACACCAGGGTAAAAGCACCCTTTTTTGCTAGTGGGTAGTTCTGCTCTACGTCTTGTAAAACTTTGCTCACATAGCAGATAGGCTTTTGATGCTTATTCTCTTCCCTTAGCAAAACTGAGCTCATCGCCTCCTCTGTAACTCCCAGATACAAGTATAAACTCTCCCCCTCCACAGGCTTAGATAGCAGTGGTGTTGACGCCAAATATCGCTTGAGCTCGTCAAACGCCTGCTGACACTTGTCGGTCCACTGAAAGTTCTTGGGCTTTCGCAGGGCTTTAAAGAACAGAAGGCACCTTTCCGCTAACCTGGCTATGAATCTATGTAACGCAGCAACACGACCAGTCAAACGTTGTACGTCTTTTACGGTCTTGGGAGGCTCCATCTGCTGAACAGCCTGAACCTTCTCTAGATTCACCTCAATTCCTTTCTTGGATACCACGTACCCTAGGAATTTTCCTGATTCTACGGCAAACGTGCATTTCAGGGGATTCAGCTTCATTTGGGCTCGGCGCAGATTCTGAAATGTCTCATTCAGGCCATCTATATGATCTTTAGCTCGCTTACTGATGACTATCATGTCTTCTACATAAACTTCAATATTCCTACCGATCTAGAGCTTAAAGACGACCTGCACCAGCTTCTGATATGTTGCGCCAACATTTTTCAGGCCAAATGGCATCATGACGTAGCAGTAGATTGCGTCACCAACGTAAAAAGCTGTTTTCTCCTGGTCGTCCAACAGCAACTGAACCTGGTGATAACCCGAGCTGGCATTAAGAAAACTCATCCGTTCATGTCCCGCTGCTCGCTCTACTAACTTCTCAACATTTGGCAAAGGATGAGGGTCTTTTGGACACGCCTCGTTTAAGTTGGTGAAATCAATACACATCCTCCACTTGCCGTTTGGTTTTTTAACGAGCACAAGGTTGGTCACCCACTCAGAGTATTCGACTCTCCTGATGAAGCCTGCCTGTAATAACTTTTGTATCTCTTCATCTATAGTAGCTTGCTTCTTAGGGCCAAAAAGGCGGTGTTTCTGAATCATCGGCCTTTTGGTGGGGTCTGTGCTGAGCTTATGGACTGTCAACTCTACTGGAATGCCAGGCATTTCATCCGTAGTCCACACAAACACATCTTAATTAACCCTTAAAAACTCCAGAAGCTCTACTCGTTCTTTTGCTGTGAGCTTGGTGCCCACCTTAACTGTTCTTTCTGGAATGTCAGGGTTCAAAGGGACTGTTTCTACTGGTTCTACCGGCTCTGCTTTCAGCTCAACACCCTTAGGTTGATGCTCAATGTCTGATATGCTCATTGTCTGTTGACCGAGCTGAGTCAGCCTATGACTTCCAGAGAAGCCTCTTGGGGCTACAACGAGCTCAACCTTCTTGAATGTATCTTGATAGCAAGCCCTGGCCATCTTCTGGTTCCCCTTAAGCACTCCTACCCCTTGAGGAGTTGGGAATTTCATACAGAGATAGGGTTGTGAAATAACAGCCTTCAGCTCGCACAGGATGGCTCTTCCTAATATAGCATTGAAAGTTAATTCCATCTTGACGACCAAAAAGCTAACAGAAGTCATCCTGAAGCGTGGTTATGAGCCCACATATATGGGAAGAGTAATAACTCCCTCAACCGGGATGGGTTGGTTATCAAACCCATATACGAGCCCTTCATACTTCTGCAGCAAGCTCGGATTCAGTTGCATCTTTTTAATCCCTAAAACTTTAAACTAAAGGATTCTAATTTCTAATCTATTCATTAAAGAATATGGGTGTTACGATTTTATCTTTGGAGGGGCCAATTTCAATGTTATAAAAGAAGAAAAATAGACAACTAAATTGTGTATTTGACTTAGGAACATCGAAGAAAATGAATTTTGTGATATTACAACATGTGACAATAAGACTAAGAATTCTATAAAAACTTAAATCATATGCTTTATATATATAAAAATTACCTGTATTACTCATATCTAAATTTTAATTTCAAATAAAATTATATTACAAAATATTAAGGGAAAAGTGTTCGTCATTTAGACTTTTAAAAAATTAAAAGGAAAAAGGTCTTAAAACTACATTGTTTCAATAAGTTTCCATTTAAAAAGACTAAAATAACCTTTTTTAAACTAAGAATGAGTTTATTTTGGTTTTTTCTTATGGCACTTTAATTTTTTTGAGATTCGGCTAACAAACACTAATCTTAAATATTAATATATATCAACCAATAAAACTAAGATATTATAAAGATTGTAAGGATTTTCAATTTTTTTTCTCAACACTTGAAAGGTTAATTGCTTAACATTGCAAAAATTTTTGAATCACTAACCTTGACCCTAACTTAAGATTTTTAAGTTAATGGGTACAATCTCAATCAAACTCTTGTTGGTAAGATGTTCTTCAAAAAAGCTTATCTTTTAATTCGATATCATTAAAGAAAAATGAAAATTAAAACATAAAATACAAAGAAATTTTAAAAAAATCTAAAAATATTTTTTTTTTTTTTGTATTAACCTCTCGATATCCGATAACCACATTGGGTCCCGACTAATTTAAAATCAAATTGCGTTAGACTCCATTAGGGGGGAAGTTCTCTCTACGCCTGTTTCTCCATTCACAAGACTCGAACTTGAGACCTTACTTAAGCGAAATCAAACTCCTTCCACTCGGATCAACAGGTCATTGGTAAAATTGTAAAAATATTATACTAACCATTAGAGCGACATTTAAATGAAATTAAAATAAAATCAATAGATATAATCTAATAATTTCTCAAATAATTAATAGTTTCTTATTTTATGTTTAAAAACCAGAGTGCTAATTGTATTTTTTTTAAAAGTATATGGTGTTAATTAAAAAATTTTCAAAAACTCTACCACTATTTCCCCTTACTTGAGCAGAGTCAATTTTATCAAATTCTACCTACTAGTATTGAATAGCCAAAATGTTTACATAAATGCATGTTCTAATTATAGATTTTTCCCTCTGAGTGTACATCAATACATACAACTGAACTAGCCAAGGTTCTTTCTACTACAAAGTAGATCTAAAGATCTAAATATCTTTCTTTCTTTTACTCTAGATCCTTTAGGAGTACTTACCTAGCATATAACTTAGATATCTTAGTATTGATTCTTATGCAATGTAATTTATAATGGATTTGTTCACATGTACGCAAATGCATTTCAATTTGGTTCAATTCTTATACTCTACATTAGTAAGATAAAAATTAGCTGTTCAACAAATAAAGCTATTATTATCTCTATTTGTAGAATTTCAACAAGAGAATCATCTTTGACAATGTCCTAGGATAGGTGGACGAGGGAAAACAAACAACAAAGGTAAGTTCCTATCTTACATGCACATGGATCACATTGTAGGTCTAAGAATTTGCATTTTAATTTCTTCTTGCAAATTGAGACAATTGTAAAGGAATTTGTTGTTTTGACTTCTAATTCTTAAGTCTAGATCAAGTAAACACTAAAACTTACCTTAATGCAGCCTTAGTTTAACAAAAGTTCCTCCCCCTTTAACTTTATTGC